CATACACTTATATATATGATATAAACTTATATATGTATGTAATTATGCAAATTTGTCAATTTTCAAACATGGAAGAATATGTAAAATATGTATTGCAAATATTTGTACATATTTAAGGTAATCATTAAATTATATGCATTCATTTCTTATTGGAAAAATTGACTTAGAATTTATAGAAAACTAAATTCTAATTACCTCCCTTTATTTACATGAATATTAAATTCGGTAATATCTTTATAAATAATGTTTTTTGAAACTTACAATATCGATAAATCTTAATTTGAGCATCATAATTTGTATATAAAACCATAAAAATAATGTGTTACAGGATCTTTAAGGCTATTTTTTAGAAGAAAAAAAACAAAAGATATAACAGAGAAAATTTGTTCCATACAAGTTCGAGATTTGTAGAGCAATATATTTTATGCGTCCCAATCTGATATAATTTAGATTTTCTACTTTCAAGCAGAACAAGTCCAAATTTTTAAATACAGAATGAAATTTATGCCTAAAAACTCCAGTCAATCAGTGTCCCTATCGATTTATTCCAAGAAATGATCTGTTAATAGAAAAAAAACTGTCAACGAAATATTTCTAAAATAAAACCATGCAAATAAACTTCAAGCATAATACATAATACATTTGAGAATGTTAATTAAAATTGGTTCGTGTTATATCATAGTGGGCATATAGACAATAAAATATAAGTCATTTGTATTTTTATTTCTCTTGGATATGTCTCATTAAAAATATTTTTGGTTAAAATCATCAGCAATTAATGGTGTATTTTTTTCATTACAAGGTCAATATGAAGAGGCCAGAGCACATCGTTTTTATTTTAATTTAAATGTCACTTAAGCACTACAGTGTTTAGTTGTCCCTTTCAATTTCACACAAAATTCAATTTTCAACTTTGCTTCTTACAATTGTATAGAATTTCTTAAAGTATTGCATGTAAACAAAGTAAGTATCCGCTGATTTATTACATGTATAATGTGTACTCCCTAATCGCTTGTCCGAAAGTCAGCACAGGTGATGCAGAATCTATTTTTAGAATAGTGTTATCTCCAGGTCGAAGGCTATTATAGTCTCACTCATACCGTGACCTAGAAAATTATGCAAACAAAACACAAGAATCGGAAGTAGAACTGATATTACAACTTCCTTTAATAAAGATTACCATGAAAGACTACATGGTGGTGAACTGTTGAAAACTCTCTTGTTACATTCATTTTAAAAGAGTTATTTCCCGGACAAGAATCTTTTAAAAGTGGAGATAATTCAAAAATTGAACAAAACAGAGTTCTGTTTTTTGGGGGGGCTTTTTTTTTTTTTTTTGTTGTTGTTTTTTGTTGTTGTTTTTTTTTTATAATGCACTTTTACTCATTATAACATAAAATCGGCTATTTTTCCCTATTTTGCCCATGTTATAACGGGACCAAAACCATGTGTTAACATAGTCATGCGCTCTTGTTATAGCCCGGTTTCACCTATGCGCAATACATACAGGGCCCGGTAAACAAACAAACAAAAAAATGACGATTTGGCCGGTTTGCCAAAGAGTCATGCGCTCTTGTTATTCCCTGCGGTCTGAAGACCGCATGGTATTGGTACGCGTTTAACTTTTGAGGCATGGAGGAGCACGTGACCTGTTTTCGGTACATGGAGGAGCATGTGATCTGTTTACCGTACCTGATTGGTTAATTGACCTTTTCGAAAACCTAGCTAAATACCGTTTGCCGGTACGTTACGGATTTACCTCTAGGGAATTAGTCCGAATTACACCTAATTAACAACAAAAAACTATTACGTGATATTTCTAATTTTCTATAATTATTTGACCGTTTAAGGTGGAAAAACTTGAATGATGTGTTTGAAAATTATCAATGTTTCTTTAATATCTATCTCAAATTTTACAAAAAATAAATGGTTATACTGAAAATCTACAAAATTAAAATATTCGTAGTGGCATCTGCCATACTAAATAGAAATATTTTCTGCATAAACTTGTGTGTTTACTTTATTTCTTTTTTGCCCGGAATTATTCAGAAAATGGTATTGTTTTATGTACGACCTTCTCCGGTCTTCATGCAACGGTCACCAGTTTTTGAAGACCTTCTTCTATATTGATCGATTATTGTCAACTATCTTCCTGATACAAACGTTTATTTATCCCCCCCCCCAAACAATGTTGAAAATAGTTAAATGAAATATCTTTATATCATTTAAAATGTTCCCCGCAGGAAACCATTTTACTTGTATTGAAATTTATTGATTCGAGGGCCTCAGTCGCATATTCAAGTAACTATGCCGGAAAAACGGCGTATAGACATCGGTGCTAATCTTGGTTGTCGCCCTTTCTAAGAACGGACAGTTGTCGATGTAAACAAATGCAGTAGAATCTACCTGTCATTCAGTTTAACACTCCGATTATAACTTACAAAACTAGATAACACAAAATTAATATGAGAAAATGTTTTTTTATTTATGTTAATGTTGATAAATGCTCTTCAATTTCTTTGAGAGAATAAGGCTCAGTGCCTGATTTTTTTATAAACTTGTTTGCTTGAAAAAAAACCGATTCTGATGTCACTCATCAATCTGAAATCATTCTAAGAATTTCTGAGGGTCATGTCTTGTCTTGGGTAGAGGTTAGAGTAATGTAACGTTTTTTTCTTGAGATAAATCTCCAAAGGCCAAGCTTTTTTAAATCAATTAAAATTATTCATAATTTCGTTCGGTTCCGATAATTTTCCAAGTTGTTGACCCCGGAAAAATGAAACGCATACGTAAAACATAGAATTAGATAAATACCGTCCAAGCACAAGAGTTTAATGTAATTGTGTTTTGTATAAACTATACATCACGAATCTGTTTGAAAATTTTATGCTATAATAGCGTCAACGCACGTTTATTTCGTGTTATAAAGTCTGCAGAGTCCCTCGGAACTGTTGGAGCCCTCGCCCTACCGGGCTCGGGCACCAACCGTTCATCGGGACTCTGCAGACGTTATAACACGGAAAAACGTGCGTTAACCCTATATTATAGCATAAAATCGGCTATTTTTCCCTATTTTGCCCATGTTATAACGGGACCAAAACCATGTGTTAACATAGTCACGCGCTCTTGTTATAGCACGGTTTCACCTATGCGCAATACAAACAGGGCCCAGTAAACAAACCCCAAAAAAAATAAAAAAATACGATTTTGCCTGTTTGCCAAAGAGTCATACGCTCTTGTTACATTGAAATTATTGATTCGAGGACCTAAATCGCATTAAATACGGCGAGCAACATTTAAGTAACTATGCCGGAAATATGGCGTTTAGACATCGCTGCTTATCATTGTTGTCGCCCTTTCTAAGAAACGGACAGTTGTCAATGTAAACAAATATTCAGTTTAAACCCCCCCCCCCAATTAGCTTACAAAACAAGATAACACAAAATGAATATGAGAAAATGTTGTTTCATTGATGTTTCTGATGATAAATGCTCTTTATATTTCTTTGAGAGAATAATGTTCAGTGCCTGATTTTTGTTATAAACTTGTGTGCTTAAAAAAAAACCGATTCTGATGTCACTAATCTTTTTCCTACCGTCAATATGACATAATTCTAACAATTTCTGAGGGTCATGTTTTGTCTTGGTAGAGGGTTGAGTAATGTAACGTTGTTTGTGTTTTTCTTGAGATAATAAATCTCCAGTGTCAAGCTTTGTTAAATCAATTAAAATTCAAAATTTCGTTCGGTTCTGAGGATTTCCCAAGTTGTTGGCCCCGGAAAAATAAAACGCATACGTAAAATATGTGGAATTGGATAAATACCGTCCAAGCACAAGGATTTAATGTAATTGTCTTTTGTATTAAATATACATCATGAATCTGTTTTAAAATTTTATGCTATAAAAGCGTCAACGCACGTTTATTTCGTGTTATAAAGTCTGCAGAGTCCCTCAGAACTGTTGGAGCCCTCGCCCTACCGAGCTCGGACACCAACCGTTCCTTGGGACTCTGCAGACGTTATAACACGGAAACCTATAATAAGATCTATCTACCAACAGAATAGAGAAAATAAGAATCCCTAAAGATGTTTATAGTTTCATGTTGATATCTCTTATAATTTTAGAGTAATGTCCCAGACAAAGTTCAAAAAGTAAAAATAAACAAAGGGCAATAACTCCAAAATTAGGAAAGGCATAGTTATGATTCTTATGCACTGCAAATCTATACATTGAGATATATCTACCTACAAAGTTTCATGTTGATATCTCTTATAGTTATACAGCTATGTCCTGGACAAGATTTTTCTAAAAGGAGAGATAATTCAAAAATTTGAGGCTTAACAGATTTATGGTTCTTTTGCACTGCACTTCTACTTAATGAGAACTATCTATCTACAATGTTTCATCTTGATATCTCTTATAGTTTTAGAGTTATGTTCCAGACAAAGTTCAAAGTGATAAAATTAAGGGCAATTACTCCAAAATTAAGCAAAAAAAGTAATGGTTCTTGGGTACTACACATCTACCCATTGAGATCTATTTACCAACAAAGTTTCATGTTGATATCTCTTATAGTTTTAGAGTTATGTCCCGAACAAGGTTTTTCTAAAGGGAGAGATAATTCAAAAACCGGGCAAAATAGAGTTATGGTTCTTTAAGACTGCACTCCCCCTCAATACCCTCTACCACTGTATGAAGTTAAAACAAATTATCTCCAAGGGTTTTCAAGTAATGCTCCGGACAAGACAACGGACGGACAGATGGACAAAAGAACAGACGGAAGGACGTTCTAACAGGAGAGTAAAACTGTGGCTACTCTATTGTTCTCTCTATTGTTCTTCTTAGCCACACAAAAGAAAATAGCCACATAAAAGCATTACGGAATGAATGGCATTAAATTACCTATTGTCCCTCTAGTCCTGTGAGTGCAGACAGACGGACAAGGTGGCGACTACATGTATATGCTCTCCCTTCGGGGAGCATAAAAAAGGTATACGTATATCAACATAATGGCACTATATTATAATTATGCATGCATATTTCCTAATTTTTAACTGAATGAAAGTAAAAAGCTTTCAAAGCTGACCATGACAATAGGACTTATTTTGACAACGTCACCAGTATAGTGCCAGGTCAGTCCGTTCTTGGACCATTCTCTTTTATTTGAAAATAAAGTAGAACTCATATGAACGTATTAATTTTGTATGAACACCAATCGTGTGTATCAGTTGACACCTATACAGGCACACTTAGACTCAACAAATTGTAAACACATTGGTATTTTAACTTCCATACAAAATATAAAATCACAATAATTACAAAAGATGGCTTAGCTGTACAACCAATGAGAATCTTTTTGGAAACTGTTACAGGGCAACACAAAATAAAAGGTTTTGAAAAATAAAAATAAAAAGCTCGTTCATGGTCCCTTAATTACAAACTCAAACATGCACGTATAGTCTTTAGGCCAGAGTCTTAAAATCTTTCCTCCTGATTTTGTTTAATGGATTTTCGCATATTTGAATTTGAAACAGTTCAATTGAAGTTTAAGTGATACCAAAATGAAGTTACCAACAATATAGATCCCGTTAAAGCCGCGCGGACCCAAAAGCTGGCCTAGTTTTATACTGGTGGCTAATGCTTATCACTATAGGGATATATTGAAACTTACAAAATGACCATTCTGTAAGTGATCACCAAGCCCAGGATAATTTTGTAAAGATGGACATTATAAATATTATGAAATGAAAGTATTTAAATATAACGGAAAGGTTAACATAACACAAATCTACATTCTACACCAAAAATGGTATAGCAACACGAAAACAAAGAAAAAGAAAATAAATGATATCCAACAGCCTGGACACGTCTTTAGATCTAGATATAACAAAACATAATAAAGGTTTGGGCTAAAAGTCAACACTGATGGCACTGACATAGTAAGAATGTGTTCATTCTCTTGGAATTTATAGAAATGTTTACTCTTTGATTTTTGAGTTAAGTCAAACAAACATTGTCAACATTGTTAATGTGTTTACGCTATTTTAGCATGTTTCATTTCTTTGGTTTAAAGTATAAATCTTTTGTCAACATTGATGTGAAAGATGGAATTTGTTTCATTCCATGCATTTTCGGATCGTCTGTATTTGACATATACCTGTCACAATAGGCCACACATTTGTTAAGTTGAGTCAGCAGTTTTTTAATCTCCATTGTTGTGCCATATTTGTCAAGTAGAAGTACAAGTGCTTGCACGTACCAAGAACCATTTGCAGAATTTCGCCAAGAATAATATCCGGGCACTGTAGAATACGATACTATAAAATCAGCTTCGTTTGGGATCCGTATTTCTTCTTCCGGTTCTGCCTCGTAATCAAAGCGCTGTGCGTCTGCAACATTTAGATTTGCCCCTGCATCAAGTTGATGGCCTCGACACGCTTGAATGAAGAATATCTTTGGTTTCCCCGCTAGCGTCTCACAAGCGAAACCTTTAAAATACTGAAATATGTCGTTTGTTTCAATAGGTCCGTCTACACCATAAATTTTGTCTTTTTCTCCATGGCTTAATATAACACCGACGAAACAGTCTGCGTCTCTATGATCTTTAGCTGCAGCATTAGAGAACGCCATTTTTATTTCCTTGCACGTGGCGTCATGGTAACGTTCTATTTCAAATCCAAGCATTTTAAGCCTACTGCACATTCTAGTAGCGTCTATATCAGTTCCTGTTCGGACTCCGTAACCTTTCTTTTGCATTTCCGATGAAAACGTTTTGTTATTGATAACAACTGCCAGTCCCCTGCGCGGGAAATCCATTTTGTACATGTCGGACAATAACTCAGTACGACTGAATGCTGGGGCGACTCTCTTGTAGGCCTGTACAAAAAACAACCAGTAATTATTATTTTCTTTGTAACACATTGAAAGCAAAATGAGATTCGTGTGATACAAAAATTTAGTAAATAAACAGGTAAAAGAAGTAATGCACCAGTTTATTGTAACACCCATCACAAACCCTGTGGAACCATGGGGACTTATAAAATTATATTTATCAAATAAAAAAGGTCCCGAACTGATGAGCAATAAAAACTGAATCCAACCCCAACATGTTTACATGGACATATCTCCCGCTTTTTTGACGTCAAAAACACCTATCACATTGACGCGTCAGTGTGGGAAAAGAAAAATTATAAAGATCGGCTCATGTCTCCTAGGCTGTCGTTCGGGGTTTCAAATTACTGGTTTATATGTTGATACAGAAGTTTGCGGGGGGGGGGCAAATGGCGTATTGTTTAAACAATGCATTTATACCAGTATCTATATAATTATAATTTATGTCAACTGATGTGTAATATAGATAAACACGACAGTGGAGACAAACTTAATCATTGACAGTACTGTCACATGTAACATACATCTTGACTGATTATTTTATTACATGACTGATTCCGACATTGCTGCGCCACCCCACCTTTCCAACCAACACCTACCACCCCGCCCCCACTCCCTCTCTGTATGAAAACTGAAGTGAACGCATTTAAACCATTTTAGATAATATAAGAAGCGAGGCTACCAGCTACAATCTATTATTAAACTGGATACGCGCCTGCGTTGTACAAACAGGAAATAGCAGTACTTAAATAGACTTGCTAATAAAATATCAAGGTTTCGTGTTACAGTCATTGACGTATATAATTTGCTTGTTTTTATACACAATAAACAATATAATAATATAATAATACAAATTATGTACGTTAACGAGAACAAAGGTCTTAGGTTTCGGCACTTCACATTTAACACATCATAAAAATAAGATCTCGAGTTTATAACAAATCACATAATATGAACAAAAAGCTAATAAATCTCATTACATACCTCCTCAATCTCCTCCTCATTTTCAATATCTCCAATGTCCATAAAAGCCTTGGAACGCGCACCAACATTACCTCCGCAGACGAACGTTTTCAGCAAGGATCCTATAAACCCTTTAGCGTCTGTATCATCCTGTGGCGTCGCGGGGTCCATTTTTCGTTTCAAATAGGTGTCGTCTGCTGTGAAAATATATCAGTTATGAAATGTATCAAACTTCCGCATATAATCAAGTGTTACATATCACAATGTAGATACGCTTACACTTTTTGTGTTGATGGTTGTGTTATATATACGTGTGAAGATAATACGCATATACATACACAAAACACACAAATCTAAGTTTTGGTGAATCACCTTTTCGTATATGTTAGGGTAATTTTGAATGTCATTCGTGCGTTTCAAAAGAAATATAATATGACCATAGACGTAAAAATGGGTTGTCAACTTTAAATAACGGTATTGCATGTATTCTGTTCGATACTTCATTTGTATGTTCCAATGTTAAATTAAAGCTATTTTTACATTTTTGTTTACCTGTCTGTTGTAGCGCGTGTGTGTGATTATTGATGTTAATTTTTGCCTATTGTACCAATATGATTTTAATTGAGATAAAAAATTTTGAACAGAATAGCTTCTACATTTCTATTTGTCGTTATTGTTTAATACTCATATCAATGATTGACGTCATATCAATGTATGACTTATCGTGTTCCTGAAATGCGCTGTAAAAATAGAAACTCACAATACAATAATATCTGCATATCTTTGAATATCTGCAATGAATAATATTGAACTTAAACATTATAACAAGAGGCTAAATCTGTGCCTTAAATTGATAGAACATTAATATAATTTGCAATCTTTTACAATTACTCAATGCAGTTAACTGTTTTTATTGTTTCACCCGTCATTTTTATCGTTGATTCTGCTGTTGCTGATGCTGTTGTTATTGTTGTTTTCATAACTGGTTTTATAACAGGTGATTATTGCATAGCTTATTTCAAGTTCTTGACGGAAACAACCAAAAGGAAGCGTAAATCTAAAGAAAAGATACAAGACTTCCTTAAAAATCAAACACACATGCAGCCCTTTAAGAATATTAATAGTGTTGTACTTACAGATTTAATATCCCCTTAATTAACCTATTTCTGAATTGTTTAACCTCTAACAAATATCCAACGCTATATAAAAAGCCCAAAAATATCTTATCAGTTGAAAAACTGAGCTTTACCTTCTTAAACCATTTTTTGTATGTAAATTGCTTGAAGTTTAAAAATAACCAATAAGTAATTATTGATCAATAAAGAACGATTCGTTCGTTTATCTTGACCTGCCTATTAAGTATACACAAATAACCTCCATATAGAATGTTTAAACAGTCGTTAAGATCGCTGATCGAATGTATTGATCGAGTTTTGAGATTTTAAAATACCTGAACATGGATATTTTTGAAATGAAAGTAGGCTGACATTTTTATGTAATACTGTTGTGATTATGGGGGTTTGTGGATCGACAGCGCAAACGGGGACGGGGGACGGTCCCATTGACAAAAGAGACGATGTGGATGGACCTGTAAGTAAATTAAATGACCGCAAAGAAGATAAAGAGAAAGAAAATGTGGACAAAAATTCAAATCAAACCAATCAGCATGTCAGTGTTAAGAATACCGGAAATACGAGTGACACGTCGGGTAACGATGAGAGGGATGTGGGACTTGTGCCAGTCGGATATTTCAACCAAAATTCCTTCACTGGTCTAGACATAATAGATCTTGATGATAATGAGGAATACCTCCAGGCAATACAAAAGGTAAATAATACACTTGTTATTATTTATATTTTTGACAGCACAGAGTCGTCAATACTTCAATATGTAAATGCTTTTAACCTATTCACTTCGCATGTGTACAGAACGGTCCGACAATGACCATGCCAGTATTAATGTTACCTTGTAAAACGCGTAATATCATTCTCTACATCTCTGTTTGCCATTTTATTTTAAACACGATGACTTTGATAAGCTTATTAGCTCACTAATTTACCAACTAATTAATTACTTACTACAATATGTTAACTAATTCGTTTGACTCATTCATTCATTCATTCATTCATTCATTCATTCATTCATTCATTCATTCATTCATTCATTCATTCATGCATTCATTCATATTTCACAATTCATTCATTCATTCATTCATATTTCACAAATTCATTCATTCATTCATTCATTCATTCATTCATTCATTCATATTTCACAAATTTATTCATTCATTCATTCATTCATTCATATTTCACAAATTCATTCATTCATTCATTCATTCATTCATTCATTCATTCATTCTTTCTTTCATTCGTGCATATACATTCATTCATTTAATATATCTTTCATTCATCCATTGACTCACTTACTAACTGAATCATCCATTCTTTCATCCATTTATTCAGCAAAACAATAATTCATTCACTCAACCAATTTATCAAGGACATTCAAAATGAACATATCAAACCTGAGTAACGGCAGAAGTCATTTTTCCAGATTGGCTGAAATTCCAAACAAAGGGAAATAAATCTTAAAGTCCTAATGTATATTGTGCCGTGTGGCAGCCGTAAAAAGTTGCCTCGTACTTCACTTTAGTATTGTTATATTTTCTGGTCCTTCGGGATCATTGATGCCAGCACATTTAAGTGAGAATTGAGTACCGCTGAAGCCGGTGCTAGGCGGCGTGAGGGATTTTGCACTTATTTATTATCCCTCATGTACAGACTCAATCAAACCGAGTCTGCAATTCTTATGTAATTTTGTTGTGATTAATGCTTCCGAGGGATCACTTTGTTTCCAGGTTTTTATACATATTTTACATATGTTACAGGCCTATCAGAGACCATCACCTCGGTTGACAAGACTAGATCTACTGGCAGATGTTTACAAGATGGATTTTCCACGTCGAGGTAAAGCTATAGTTATCAATAACGAAAAATTCAAAGACAGTCCACAAAGAAAAGGCACTTGGATCGACTACAGTAAAATTTGTAATCGACTTCAAAGACTTGGTTTTCAAGTTGAAGGTCATAATGACGTCACGTGTAATCAGATTATGGCTGCGTTTGTTAATACCGCGAATGAAGACCACAGCGATGCTGATTGTTTCGTTGGTGTTTTTCTCAGTCATGGAGAGAGTAATGAGATTCATGGAATTGACGGAGTAATGAAACTTTCTACAATATTTGAATTATTTCATGCCAGTAGATGCAAAGGTCTGGCGGGAAAACCAAAGTTGTTTTTCATACAGTCGTGTAGGGGTGAAGCTTTCGATGATGGTGTGCATTTAAATGTGGCGGATGCGCAGGGATATGTGCAACAGGAACCGGAAGTTGAACTTACAATTCCAGACGAAGCCGATTTTTTGATCTCTTATTCCACAGTAGATGGCTATTATTCATGGCGTAACGCTAAGAATGGCTCGTGGTATATACAAGCTCTCGTGAGAGTTCTGGATGAATGTGGGACTTTATTAGAGATACAGAAACTTTTGACAAGGGTACATAAACTCGTAGCTAATGAGTTTGAATCTAAAGAACGCAGTCGGAAACGCCGAAAACAAATCCCATCATTTATATCAAGACTTACAAAAGATCTATATTTCAATCCCAAGTGATAACTTTCCCATTATCTATACTTTAATCCATTCCATATAGATCTATATGAACAACTGATTTTGTTTTTTAAAAAAGAGACGAATAATAAGGTAATATACGTGTGTGTAATTTTAGTGACCATTTACTGAAGGTTAGGAATGGCTATCTGATTTTTTTTCTTAATTTCTTTATTTTTTTCAAGGTGAGTTCAGTCATTTTGACAAAATGTTCAGACAGGTAATATATATATATATATATATATATATATATATATATATATATATATATATATATATATTATATATATATATATATATATATATATATATTATATATATATATATATATATATATATATATATACATGTATAACTAGCAATTTTTTACATAGGCAATTTTTTGATATCAGTCTAAAGTGCCAATCAAAAAGTATCAACATTGTCAAATCGTGGCTTAAAGTTTAGAAGTTTGGTTATTATTGAACATTCAGAGAAAAAATGAAATATATAAAATATTTTTATGCATTTTATTTCGCAAAGTAATATAATTGTGCTAACGTGTAAATGTAAATATGAACGAAAATATAGAAGTACACAATATTAAATAAAACATAACATTTATACATTTATGACTTCCAAATGTCATTGTGTCACATGCCAATTTTGTGCACACGTGTAGTATTTGCCAAATAAAATGATTCATTAGCAATTATTTTGAAAGGAAACAACAGAATGTGCGCCTAAGAAGCCTCTGACATGATCTTTTGCATGTACTCACTTATTGTGTTGTTATTGGTATACGTGGTGTTGTTGTTGTTGTTGTTCTTGTTCTTGTTCTTGTTGTCGTTGGGGTCGCTAACTATTTTATTTCATTTAAAATAAAGAAAATAATGTTACACGGAATAATAATTCATTGAAACGAAAAAGCGATTCGCTATAATGAAATTTTATTTTGTTAAAACGAAATATTATCTCATTTTCTAAAACGAAATCTAACATAAAATGAAAATGATACCGTAACAACAGGAATGGACAAAGAAATACGAACAGTTACCCATATGTTTGATAATAAATTCCTAATATATTAACGTTATCATGAAAACAATAAAATTGAAATTGTATTTGCCTTTATTTCTTAAAGGCCCATTATGCCTGTGAAATGTTATCATTTTTATTTCTAAAGAAACGTTTATGTTTGGTATCTTAATACAGTTTTCAAAATTTAAGTTATTTGCTACAGAGATGAACTATCTTTTTTGCTTCCTTTACTTTTTTTGGTAATTGGTATGATCATAGTGAATGAGTTTTTTGTATGGAAGTCAAAACGCATCTTTGTTCCTTAATGACACATTACTGCACGTTCAGCGCTTCTTCCTACTTCGCTACTTAAAATTCAAAACTAATTTACACTACGTTTCTGAGGCATAATTTGACTTTAATTCATCATCTAATTAAATTGGGCTATGATAAATACATTAAAATAGAAATAATAAATATACAGTCAAACCTGTTAACAAATGTCATCCAAAGGAGAGACAGACTGTGACCCTGATAGACAAATGGTCTTTATTTGGAGGTTACTTTTGTTCTATTTATAATCAGTCTGTCATTTTTATCAGTTTGTAGGGTGGTCTTTATTTGGAAGTTGTATTAAACATGGTTTGACTGTACATGTATACAAATGTGTAATTTAGATACCGTTACAATATTGCTGGCATGTGATAAGAGACTTGAACCCATCTACATATGTATCATATCGGCTATAATATGTCACAGTTTCACATCCAAGAAAAATTCTTAAAGGCACATTATGTCTCAGAAACAAATAAAGTTTTTAGTTTTAGAGAGTGTTAATATGTGTGACTTTGGAGCATGGTAGATGCTTTTCAGCGTTGAATCTAAAATATTTTGTCATTAAAGTAGCAAACTGTAAACACAGCAGTATTATGATTTCCATACATACAAAATCATCTGAATTACAAAAAGCAAAATTTTTTTTAAAAATTGACCAATTGACTTTTGAGACATGAAAATAAAAGCATTTCTGAGGAATACTAGGGCTTTATAATAAGAACATATTTAATGTTTTTCTAATGCACGAGTGAAGAAAGAGCGGACGTGATGCTTAAATAAATGAAGGCAAAATGATTGTTTTGTAAAATATTTGTAAATAAAGTCTGTTTTAATAATCTGTCTTATTCAGTTCAATGGTCCAGAATTTGTGTCAAATAGTTCCTGAAAAGATAAAAGTCAACACAAGGTCTTTCATATGGCAAAACACATTGTGCATATGACTAAAGCACCCATTTAAAAAAAGTTAATTTGATATCTCCGATCTAAACTCGTTTTATACTTAAAGGTCGAGTGCGTTTCAAGGGTGGGTGGTGTTTTACGGGTTCTTATCTAATCATATAACTTGTTAAACGTTACTAAAATTTCAAGCGCATTCTTAATACAGCAGTCACCTTCAAACAAATCTGCAATAAACTACATACAAATCTGCAAGGAACTACATACACATAAAACACATCAACTACATAAATATCTGCAGAAAATTACTTACAATTCTGCAATAAACTACATACAAATCTACAGGAAACAATATGTACATAAACACCTGCCTGCAGAAAACTACATACACATCTACAGTAAACAAAATACACAACTGCAGTAAACTACATAAACATCTGCAGAAAACTATATACAAATTTGCAGTAATCTGCATACAATTCTTCAGTAAACTACATACAAATTTGCAATTAACTACATAAATATCTGCAGAAAACTATTCACAAACCCGCAGTAAACTAATCTACAGGAAACAACATGTACATATAAATTTGCGGTAAACTATATACAAATCTGCAGTAAACTACATACAAATCTGCAGTAAATACTTACAAATCTGCAGTACAACAAAAAACTACATACAAATTTGCAGTAAATTACATACAAATCTGCAGTAAATACTTACAAATCTGCAAAACAATAAAAAATTATATACAAATTTGCAGTAAACAAAAACAAATCTGCAGCAAGCTACATACAAGTCTGCAGTAAACTACTTACAAATCTGCAATGTAACAAAAAAAACTAGATACAAATTTGCAGTAAACTACATGCAATTTTACAGTATACTTCATACAAATCTGCAAAACAACATAAAACTACTTACAAATTTGCAGTAAACTACATACAATTCTGCTGTACACTACATAGAAATCTGCAATACAACAAAAACTACATACAAATATGCAGTAAGCTTAATACATATTTGCAGTAAACTACATACAAATATGCATTTAATACTTACAAATCTGCAGTACAACAAAAAATACATACAAATTTGCAAAACACTACATACAAATCTGCAGAAAATACTTATAAAACTGCAATACAACAACAACAAAAACATACAAATTTGCAGTAAACTATATAACCAACTGTATTAAACAACACACACATTTGCAGTAAACTACATACAAATTTGCAGTAAATTACATAAAAATCTGCAGTAAACTTCATTCAAATCTGCAATAATCTACATACTAATGTGCAGTAAACTACTAACAAATCTGCAATTAAACAACAAAACTACATACAAAATTGCAGTAAACTACATACAAATATGCAGTAAATACTTACAAATCTGCAGTACATATAAAAATTTATATAAATTTGCAGTAAACTATATACAAATTGGTAGTAAACTACATACAAATATGCAGTAAACTACTTACAAATCTTCAAAACAACAAGAAACTACATACAATTTGCAGTCAACTACATATAATTCTGCAGATAACTACTTACAAATCTGCAATACAACAAAAAACTATATACAAATTTTGAAGTAAAATACATACAATTCTGCAGTAAATACTTACAAATCTGCAGTACAACAAAATACTACATACAAATTTGCAGTAAACTACATACACATCTGCAATACAAAAAACTTATCCAAATCTGTAGTAAACTACATACAAATCTGCAGTAAACTTCATGAACATTTGCATAAAACTACTTATAAATCTGCAGTTAACTAATTACAAATCAGCAGTACAAACAACTACATACAGATTTGCAGTAAACTACATGAACATATGCAGAAATGCAGAAAACTTCTTATAAATCCGCAGTTAACTAATTACAAATCTGCAGTACAAAAAAACTACATACAAATTTGCAGTAAACTACTTACAAATATACAGTAAATACTTACAAGTCTGCAGTACAACAAAAAATTACATACAAATTTGCAGTAAACCACAAACAAATCTGCAGTAAACTACATACAAATCTGCAGCAAACTACTCGCAAGTCTACAATACAAAAAACTACATACAAATTTGCAGTACACTACATACAAATCTGCAGTAAATACTTACAAATCTGCAATACAAATCTGCAGTAAACTTCGTACAAATCTGCAGTTAACTATATACAAATCTGCAGTAAACTACATACAATTCTGAAATAAACTACATACAAATCTGTAGTAAACTATGTACAATTCTGCCATAAACTACATACAAATCTGCAGTAATACAAATCTGCAGTAAACTACATACAAATCTGCAATAAATTACATACAAATTTGCATTAAACTACATACAATTATGCAATACAACAAAAAACTACATACAAATTTGCAGTTAACTACATACAAATCTGCAGTAAACTACATACAAATCTTCAGTAAACTACATACATACAAATCTGCGGTAATCTACATGTACATACAAATCTTCAGTAAACTACATACATACAAATCTGCGGTAATCTACATGTACATACAAATCTGCAGTAAACTACATGTACATACAAATCTGCAGTAAACTACATGTACATACAAATCTGCAGTAAACTACATGTACATACAAATCTGCAGTAAACTACATGCATCTCTTCAGTAAACTACATACACATCTGCAGATTCATCTGCGGTCCAAACCGCCGAGCTTGATTTGATTTATGTAATATAAATCTCTGTCCAAACCAAACATTTTATGATAAATTATGAATCAAATGCAATTTACGAATATGTAGATTTTTCTTGTTTGTTTCCAACTAGCAAACAGGAAGTGGTTTTAGTAAGCAACTTGTTTTCACCTAACGTCAATTATGTTATCTTGTTATATCTATTTTTATTCATTTCATATCATAATGAGCTTTTAAGTGCATTTATTATTACGTCTATGTCATGTATACATGATACATGTCTAAATGTACATTATTTGATGGCACATATGATAGTGCATTAAGTATATTACAGTAACTGCAAAGGGGTACGATTTAATAACACGTGTCACGTGACGCAAAAAATAAAAGTGTACCAGATTTTGCTCATATACTTCGACATTCACATAGCATATTTATTCAAATTTATGTTCTGTCCTGCGTTTTTTAGAGTTTTTTATGTGGCAGAGCCGGGCTTCAAGACGTTGATATGTCCGCTAAATGAGCCGCGTCACGACAAAACCAACATAGTGAGTTTGCGACCAGCCTGCGCGCAGTCTGATCAGGATCCATGCTGTTCGCTATCAGTTTCTCTACTTGTTATAGAGTATGTCAGCGAACAGCATGGATCCTGATCAGACTGCGCGGATGCGCAGGCTGGTCTGGATCCATGCTGGTCGCAAACCCATTATGTTTTTTGTCTAAGGGCGGCTCAAATATAGTATGACCCCAGACATCTCAATAAATGACGTGCATGCAAATGGACGCTTGTCATTTGTTTAAAAAGTGTACTTGATAAATTTGTATTTGATATCAAGAAACAAATGCAGATCAGTAAATTAATTCTCAAAATATCACATTTAAAAGAAATATATCAATAATAGAAAAACATCTCATGCATAAATCTCCGCATATCTCAACCCAAGAGACACTTTGTATGTGATATATTTATACTCCGTTCAAAAGAAGGTCCACACATATATGTTGGTCTTACACTTAACATTAAACTAAATTCAAGGAACTCTACCGAGGTCAATAAGCCTAAAAACTATAATTTGAATGTCTTACATAGATCAGACTTATATGCAAAAGAAAACTAAAAAATATGATTTGAAAAAAAAAATGAAAAACGTATTTTCGTGCTATTCTTCGCCCGATTTGAGCAAAAAGAGTTTCAATGCTCAACGCTTTTCAATTTTGGACACTTTTCACATTAAGATTATACTGCAAAATACCGAGCGAATGATCTGAAAATTTTGCACATAATTTATTGATCTAAACCTACATCAAATTGAAAATTAATCTTGAAAAAATATTTCCAGTCCTGCCTTGTCAAAAACCCTCAGTGGAGTTCCTTTAAGGTCAGTCATCTTTTTCCTGAAAATGAATTGAAAAGTTCAAGCATCCATGAAGTTCCGAATAGAAAGCATGTGAATGAAAACGATTATTAATTTGATATGAGTATGTTTATTTCAAACCTTTTAGTAGCAGAGAATATATATAAAAAATAATATGTTTGACATTAACAAATGTTCCAGTCCGTTATTCAGTTCAATCTTCTTTCACTGACTGTTATTTAATAATTTTATTCTGGACGCAAATGTAAAAAAAATCTCCTTAAATGAGCATATTTCTACATTATGTTGATTACTATTTTGTATAATAGTATATGCTTAATATTTCGGGAATAAATCGGAGCTTCATAGCCGTTTTCGTGAAACTAAAACACCATTACTTTTCAAGCGTTTGGGAGTATCCGATAATTCAACATACGTTTCGTCAATATCATAATGTTTCCGTGAGGCATATTTTGTTTTGAGAGCAAAAATTTGCAACGTTATCATATTCTCATACATTTTAATTGTCATTATGCATAATGATTCACGACGTCATTGTCTGAGACAGGTCACCTGTCAAGGTCAGTCAACTACTTGAAGTCATTAGTCATTACATGCATGTTTTAATGTCAGACACCTGTATTAATTGATTTTTAATTACGCTGATTTGTACATAAATACTAAATACCCCTTTCTGGAGCAGCATTTTGCTAAAACCCAACTTGCTCCGTTATATCGAAAGACAACTGGTAAGGTAACTGTTTATTTAGAATCTTTTATCATTTTAATACATATGTATTTATATAATTATAATAAACGTGTTATTTTATTTTTGTAACTTTTGCTTCAGTAACGTTTTATTTTTTCCTCGTGCCTAGATAAAAATCGCTATAGATATTAATTCTACATGATTTCATTTTGTTCAGCAAAATGAATTCGCATCATTTTATTATCATTGTTGTTGTTGTTATTTATTATGTTTAATTAAAGATAAAAATCGCATTGTCATAGTAATTTTGAATTTAGCATGATTTCGTTTGCTTTTGACATCTTTCTGGAGTTCCAATTCCGAACGTCAAGGCAACCGAAACAGTTTGCGTCTTTTTTTTAGTGATATAGAGTTGTTCTTAAGAAATTAGTCAAGAGATATACTATGGAAAAGTATGGCTGTGTTTAAAAAAAGTACGACAATGATATTTTACTATAAGTTGGAAACTCAGGTCAAGCAAATTTCAATAGGTATCAATTTTAGACTGATCAACCAAAAAGTTAGATGGTAATAGTATATACACATGTATTATGCTTACAACTTCTTTACAATCGTTTATTTCTGATGATATTTTTATTTAAGTCTTATAAGATTCCCTACACATGGACGCCAATTTTATCCGTCGGAGCACATGAGCCATTCTTGATTCTGCTGCAAAAACAAACCAACAAATCCTTTTGACGTTTTATATGTAAAATTGTATTCTTTGCTTTGCATCACTTGTATAAAGACCAACATTCTGAGCGGGAATCATACCAGGACAGGGAACCAGGTTTTATCTGGTTCCCTGGCCTACAATGGTTCCCATCCAAGATGTACTTTTTAGAGGTATGCAGGAGACCGGTCTAACTATTGGTACCACTCTTGATCATTTCAACGCTTTATAGACATTTAGAAATCACGAAAAGTGACAACAAATGCGGAATGTTCACGATCACATGACAAATACATCATTGTAAATATGTGTAAATAATACTTTCATAGCTACTTTAGTGTTTAAGTATCATTTTATCTTTTCAGATCAGACGATCACCATGAAAACATCACAGTCAGTCATTATTGCTTTGTGCCTTCTTGTCGTCTGCGCCAGTGCTGTCCCAATGTACCGTAAGTATATCTGCTTGTTTCAAACACTTTAACTTACGACCTAAAAGATTTTCAAAAACGTTGTTTCCGCTTTATGAAAGTATTTGGCATAAAATGCATGTATTTTATTTGTTAGTTTTTGTAATAAATATATTAGCTGTTGTCAGTAGTCAAAGTGAAAAAGAAGGGAATAGTGAAGGCTATGTTCTTTATATCAGCTAACTTTTCCTAATTACATAAGAAAAATTTTGCTTCGAATAAACGCTATAATCATACGAATGAATCGGTTGAGTTAAATGAATATATAGCATTTTCGCTATCTCAGTAACATTCCGGTATTTATTTAAGTTTTCGTTTTCTCTCTTTTTCGTATACGTATGATTACATAATCACTCATTATTCATCTGTAGGCCACAAGAAAGGTTTCGGGCCACCAATTATGCCGGTGCCATTCCATCCATATCCAATGTATGGACCACAGCGAAGAAACGGATTCAATAACGGACTTACACTTCTCACCTCGGCAGCTCTTCTTGGCTCCGGAAATCCATTCGGACAGGCCCTTGGCGGTGTAGGACTTTTCAGTCTGCTTTAAGAAAACCATCAACAACTGCATAAACCCGTATGTATTTTTGTTTTATAGCATTATCTATGAAAATAGAGAAACACACATACCAGAGAGTAAATTAATGTTACATTATTTGTTTTATCTTGCTTCTTTATGGACTTTTTATCTTTTTTATGAAGTCTTCTCGGCGATATAATTATTCTGAATGGTTAAGAGCGCGTTAAATTTCCAATTTTCAAATTAAAAAAAAGATACAGAAAGGGAAGCAGACAGTCATGAATTTATCTTCAAAAAAGCTAAGTGACGATGATTTTATTCTTTTAGGAAAGGGTTTAAAGTTCTGCCCTAAAATTAAGTCTCATGATAAAATTAAACTTGCTGAAGATACTTTCATGTTTCAAAGAAGATTAAGACTCAAAGAATTTTTTAACAATTTAAATGAACCTTGTGAAACTAATTCTCAAAGTGATAGTGAAAAAGACGAATATTCCCAACACCCATTTTTCAATAAAAAAGAATCGTCATTCACCCCCACCGCTGGAAGAGATGTTTACTTGGACTTTTACATTAATGCTATTACGGAAGAAATATTGCAATCCAGTATCATTAATAAACACAAACGTTATAGTAATATAACCAAGTCTGAAATGGAGTCGCTACGTAAACTGTCACAAGATAAAAGTATAATTATAAAGAAAGCGGACAAATCGAACACTATCGTTATTATGAATACTGACGATTACCGACGGGAAGTTTTACGTCAACTCGAAAACAACAGCTACTATGAAAAATGTACGGAAGATCCTACAGAAATTATTAAATGTAACATATCGGAATGCATTGATAAGATTAAAGAAACAAACGACTGTATTTCAGATGAATTTGATGTATTTCCAACGAACATACGTACACCGTGTTTTTATATCTTACCTAAAACACACAAATCTCCAGACTTCACACTGCCATTAAAGTATCCGGGTAGACCTATTGTGTCAGGATGTAACTCACCGACAGAAAATATTTCAAAGTATCTCGACTTTATACTTAAACCACATATGCTTAGATTGCCATCATATGTAAAAGACACCACAGATTTCATCAACAAATTACGTAATATTAAACTACAAAGCAAAAACACATATTTGGTAACACTAGATGTCTCTTCACTTTATACTAATATACCACATACGGATGGAACTGATGCGTGTTTGTATTATTTAAGACAAGGAAATAATAACAGCAGACGTTCGTCAGATGAAATTGTTAAACTTTTGAAACTTATTCTTGAAAATAACTACTTCAAGTTCGGGGATGACTATTTTCTTCAGAAAATGGGTACCGCTATGGGAAGCCCAGTCGCCCCCGCGTACGCAGCACTTTTTATGGGGAAATTCGAAGAGGAGTTTTTGAAAGATAGTCAGCTTAAACCGTCATTGTGGCTTCGTTTTCTAGACGATATTTTTATGCTTTGGGATCATTCTCTTGAAGAACTTAACACATTTATTGACAAAATCAACAATGTTCACCCAAGCATTAAATTCACCCACACCATATCTCAACAATCTGTTTCGTTTCTTGATGTTCAAGTATCAAAAGGAAAATCGTACGAACTTCAAACTAATGTTTATGTAAAGGAAACTAACAACCACCAATATCTTGATTATACATCCTGTCATCCAAAACGGTGTAAAGACGGAATACCCCACAGTCAGGCTAAGCGTTACAGGAGAATTATATCCGACGACGACGTGTTCTCTACTTCACTGAGCAAACTACGAGAATTCTTCATAAGTAGAAATTTCCCTGAGACGGTTATAGATTCAGCGTTTCTTCACGTGTCACAGATGTCACAAGAGGATGCCTTACGGCCACAAGATAAAGAAAAGAAAAACGTTCTTCCATTTATTGTGACATATAATCCGTCCTTACCTAATATTGGAAATACTATTCATAAATATTGGGACCTACTAAATCTGTCAAAAAACGAAGGTGTTAAAAATATTCACAATAACTACACACCCATAATTGCCTATAAACGTCCAAGAAACTTACAAGACTTTTTAGTTAGATCTAGATTTGATACTGACAGTGACTTTACATCACATTCTGGAGGTTGTTGTAGAAAACGCTGTTCTCATTGTGTTCGTATTAATAGTGGTACGTCATTTTACAGTTCAAATACAGGAGAGATATTTGACTTACGTCAACATACTAACTGTCAAACCAAGAATTGTATATATTTGATAACATGTAAAAAATGTAGCATGCAGTATGTTGGTCAAACCAAACAACCTGTGTCTAAACGAATGAATAGCCATAAATTTGATATATGCAATTTTGTAGATCCTGCATTCTCCACTAATGTTGCAAATCATTTTAATAAGGACGATCATAATTTTACCGACTTTTCATTTATGCCCATAGATGTTGTTTACAATACTTTAGATCGTTTGTGCAAAGAAACATTTTGGATTCATAAGCTAAAAACTCATTTTCCAGAAGGAATGAACACAAAATTGTTATACTCAATTAAATAATTCATAAAATATCAATCCACGCTACAAATGCTAGAATTACGCCACATAGATATTCGTTTTTTCCTATTATCATTTTTTATAATTAAACCCTATAGGAAATATTCGTATTTATTAATCCGATATCTATTGTGTCGTTTTTATATTTTGATGCTTTGTTTGGTGCACTTATCTCTTTTATCAATTGGAATTGTTCGTATTTGTTCGTTTTTCCGCTAAAGTGGGCGTGACGTTAATTGTAAAATTACGACGTCACGTCCGTTGATATTATTATTATTTATTTACCTTGAAAAAGGCATACATTTGCCGAAACGTTGGAAAAATAAAAAATGATATTATACGTGTTATTGCTGTGACTTTATCATTTCAATTTTCAAATTAAAATAATTGGGCCCTTTTTAACGCAAGCCTTTCTCGCTATTATACGTGTCACACAGATTAGAATAAATAATATTTAAAATGACGATGCTGTGTTGAATTTGATAGTATACACTGTTTATACGACTTTATGGGAGAAAACAATGTACTCCAATATTCTCGAAGACGGTCTGTTAATTAAAATACAAGAATGCACATTCCCCAGCCAAAACTTTTTTAATACTGGCTAGCAGGAAGTTTCATGTTTGATTCTGATTTTCGAAAAGTGGTCGGCATTCTAATAAAAAATTTTTTATATGTATGATTACGGAATATTCTTATTTACAACATTTGTTTTATTTCATTCCTTTCAGATGATTCGGAGGGGACGTTTCTGCCATAGCCTCGAGAAACCTGTGCAGATTTAATGTTTATTTATTTATTTATTTATTTATTTATTCGTTAATTTATTTATTTACTGTACATCTACTTATTTTTGAATGCCATGCTTGTTTAATAAATTATTTCATTTCAAAATATGATTTTTTTTATTCGTTTGTTTTATGGTGGCCGTTATATGCCATGTCGCATTTTGCTCAGCGGGGTTCCAGGAACTACGGCATAGTTGTTTTTGTCGTAAGTTTGTTCTTTCTCCTTTGTTCCGCAGGGCGCCAGACGAAAATACTGCCACTTTGTTGTACTTTCGCCCTGCTGGGCGCCAGGCAAAAAAAATAAACACGCCAAATTACGACAATGTTACCACTTAGTCATACTTTCACTCTGCATGTGTAAACAAGAAAATACGTTATACGGAGCGAAAATACATTATGGGAAAACTCAGCCACCATTATTTCTACATCAGTACATTTAGAGTCCTATATTTTTATTGACATGGGGAGCCTTATCAGTCCAAAATAGCGTATCTTAAACATGTACAGCTACCCGAGTTTGGAGTTCGTTACAATTGTTGTCAGATGTCAACTAAGAGCTTTATGTATTCTTTTTGGGAATTATTTCAGCCAGTAGTTGAAAAAAATGATAAAATTACAAACGAACTTTCTACAAACTTCTGCCTTTTTTCTTCAAACTTAAAGCTGCGGTCTTACTAACTCCCGGCAGAGCCCTGTACCACCCCGTAAGTTACCAGGATGATCTGGAACGATCCGGGGTGAAATTATTGTTGCGGTCACACTAACCCTGGCAGCACTACGGTAATTCCAAACAAACCACCCAGGATGCGCTCCGGACCATCCAGGCAGAGCCCAGGTGAAGCTACGGTTCATGCCAGTGCTTCCACGGTCGTTCCAGGATGACGCCGGAAGAGCCCCGGTTAACCAAGGCAGAAGCCCGGTCGATCCAGGCAGAGCCCAGGAGGATCCAGGCAGAGCCCCGGTAGAACACCTGTGCATTGAAAACGTGCGAAAATGATTACATTGATACATAATTTTTATTCAATATAATATCTATTGTTGCGGAACAGTAATTCATGACGATTTTCTGAAAATCCTTATGCAAGTCTGAAGGGAAACGGGAAGGGTTTTAATATTAATATTAACAAGTGCAATCATCGCAAATTGTCGTGATTCTTTTGAAATGAACCGGGCTTTTCCGGGGCTCTACCGGGATCAACTGTAGCTCCATAGTCATCCTCCGGGGCTCTGCCGGCATCCTCCGGGGCTCTGCCGGCATTCATCGGGGCTCTGCCCGGCTATCACCGGGGCTCTACCGGCTATATCATACCCCGGATCATCCCCGGTTTGTGCCGGCAGAGCTACGGTGCTTCCCCGGTGTAACCCAGGTCGTTCCCGGCAAAGCTTAGCTTCCCGGATCATCCCGGACCACCCCCGGTGATATTAAATATTTTATTCCATCCGAGGTCAAATGCCGGATGTTCCCGGATCATCCCGGACATTGCCTGCAGAGTAACAGATGTACCCCGGTTGTTCCCGGTTGTTCCCGGTCGTACCCCGGTCGTTCCCGGACGTCAACCGGGATGTCAGTGAGACTTTAGCTTAAGCTGCTGTGTCACTTTCTCCCGGCAGAGCCCAGGACCACCCCGGTAAGTAAATGGGATGATCAGAGACGATTCGGGATGAAATTATTGTTGCGGTCACACTTACCCCTGCAGTACTACGGTAATTCCAAACTAACGCCCAGGCAGAGCCACGGTAGAACCACGGTGGATTGAAAACACGCGAAATGATGACGCTGATACATAATAATTTATTTTCTCCTATTTAATAAGTAATTCATGATGATTTTCTGAATAATCCTTATGCGAGACTGGACATAAAGCTGCAGTCTCACTCCCGGCAGAGCCAAGGACCATCCCGGTAAGTTACCGGGATGATCCGGGACGATCTGGGTTGAAATTATTAATGCGGTCACACTAACCCGGCAGCACTACGGTACTTCCCAAGTAACCAGCCAGGATGCGCTCCGGATCATCAAGGCAGAGCCCAGGGGAAGTTACGGTTCATGCCGGTGCTTCCCCGGTCGTTCCCGGATGACGCCGGAATAGCCCCGGTTGACCCAGGCAGAGCCCTGGTCGATCCAAACAGAGCCCAGGAGGATCCAGGCAGAGCCCCGGTAGAACCCCGGTGGATTGAAAACGCGCGAAAATGATTACATTGATATACAAGAAAAGCATTGATGCAAAGCATCAAAGGGCGACGCCAAAAGAATTTGATCCAGGTTTGCACCTAAATACTTAACAAAAGATGTGTACTTTATAGCAGTACCATTACATGTGACCTGGAGGCTAGGCCAAGTTTAAGTTGAAACTTAACTTAAACCAAAAAGAATAGACTCTGTCTTGCCAAGATGCAAAGACAATTAATAGTCAATTAACCAATCTTATCAGACTCAGCTTTATTTTACCAGATACATATAATCACAGGCACGAGTATCGGACCTGGGAAGAAAAAATATGACAAGATTGATAAAAAAAACTGTGTTCATAAAAACAAAAACAAAAATGTAAATAAACACCCCCTTTAAAAATATACTATTAACTTAAAATATATTTTTAAAGGGGGTCATTATTTACATTTTTTTTGGTTTTTGACACTTTTAAGATGAACACATGCTTTTATCAATCTGGTCATATTTTTTCTTCCCAGGTCTGATACTCGTGCCTGTAAATATAATAAACGCTTATTGCTTAGGGTTGCAGTCATGCCATTGACATATATTAGACATAAAAGAGGACCTAAAATGAACATCAGGGGACACCATAGGTACTCAGAGCAGTAGTAGAATGGGTACCAGCAACATCCACCAGCTGCTGTCTATCAGAGATAAGACTTAAACCATGTAAGAATGTCATTACATATGGCATATGCTTGAAGTTTCATGAAGAACTTCTTCATGCAGTATAGTGTGATCAACTGTATCAAATGCCCTTTGTAGATCTAAAAGTATCATGCAATACTGCCTTTGTCCATTTCAAATTTAATGCAATCTGTTAAATGAATCAAACATGTGTCAGTTGAAAAACCACTTCTAAACCCTGACTGAAACTACCTGACCATGACTCAAACCCATGACTTTCAGAAGACCAACTGAGCTATCCGGCTGGCTACACATTTTCTCTTTAATAATGAAACAGTTCTTAACCACAACATATTTCCAAACTATATTGATTTGTGTCCTTGAATTTCTTATGTTTACAGAGCATAGTGAATTGAACTCATGCTTATATGCAGTCACAGGATGAAAACAACTTTCAGCTTGACCAGAACTCAAACCTGTGACCCACAGAATAATGCACCGCAGCTGTAGCGATTGATCTATCTGGCTGCTTACACATTTCTCCCCTGAATAGTGAACAAATCTAAACTGTGACAGATACTTTTAGATTTTTAAATTAACAGATAATTAATTCTTAATTAATAAATAAGAAAAAAAACCTTACATACTCATAGTCTTAATTAAAATAACAATTTATATATTATTCTATATTTTTTTTACTAAAAAGGGCTTAGACAGTTATTGGTTGAAAGTGAACATAACTGTGCTAATACATGTACAATATCTTTTTGTTGTACAGATAAAAAACTAACCTTTTTTCTATGATAAGAAATCTTATGAAGGCTGATTTGTATTTTGCATCAAGAGCACCGGGCGAAAACATGAAAATGCAACGAACGAACCACTTTGTGGTAGATTGTATTTTCATTTTTTCAGCTGGCGCCCGGTTACTTTTTGTACTATGTCGGTTTTCATGTGGCACAAACCACCCACTATAAAATTTAGTACACAAATTTATTCAAGGGCAAGTTACAATCTACTCTATGAAAAGTCTGTTGTCGGGTTGACTCAGGAGACCTGGAGGTTGAGACCGTTGTCCCTCCATTACAAATAGATAAGACAGAAGCTGTCCTTTTCAAACTATGCACATGTTAGAAAAAAAATAGAATAACTATTCAGAATATGATTTTTTGAGACTTTATTAATAATATTGCTTGATCCAAGTTTAAAGACATTTTCAATCAATACATGTATTATCATTTATAACTTTAAATGAAAGTCTCATCCCTTTGATAATAATGACATAACTGTAACTCTTTTAATTCAGAAATAGTCTCATCATATCAATAAACTAAGATATACATGTATGCACATAGCATTAATGATCCCAGTTTCTGTTAAATAAATATGAAATCCTAACATTAACATTAACATGCTTTTGATGACCTTACAACTGGTAAATTTTATACAACAAAAATAGTAAGTAATACCTAAGATAGACAGAAAAGAACAAATAATTTAGTAAACATGAGTTACTTCCCCTTAAAATAGAGAAAATCTGAAACCCAAAAGAACAGCCTAAACAGCAAAATTATGAAATGTTGCAGGCTCAGTTTTATTAAAATATGATAAACAAGATCAACAAGGAAAGGCGGCGTTCAATGAACGCAACCCCCCACATGACCAAGCAACAAGAACCCAACGGCAAGGAGCCCAGGCGGACCCCAAACATAAAAAGGACAGGGCAAAGACACGTTAATCATTAATTGATAAATAATTTGTAACTGATTAGGAATTCAAAGAAAATAATAATAGGCCCACAAAGGGGAAGGGGACAGGAGACTGGGGGGGGGGGGGGGGTTAATCAAAGAAATAAAAACTAGAGGCAATGGGGACGATACTTACCGTAGACGAGAAAACAACAAGGGACACAAACAAAAGTGTCACCAAAACAGTATGAAACAACATAGACATGCATCTGAGGAACACAGTGGGGCGCCGCCTTGGAACGGTCAGCAGCATAATAATGACTGCTGGGGAGTTTAAACCGGTTTATGGTGCACCAAACCTCGCTCTTAGCCCCACCATGTTCCTATAAACGAGACAGTGTAAATAAAATGAATCCCCGCCAAGTGAAATTCTAACAGTTGTCATGGTTACAAAAGGTTAAATAAGTAAAACACTAAAATGATCATGTAGAAACATATAAAAGTAAACCCAATGACCAAAACAAAAGTACTCAATGTCCTAAAGGAAGACAGAGCAACAAGAAAATCACCTACAAGGG